TGAACTGGTCTGAACTGGTCTGAACTGGTTGCTGCCCCTCCCCCCAGATGCTTTTTCTCGCCACTTTTTTCCCAACCTGGGAGGGGCCCTCGGGCGGCTACGACCTGGTGGGGGTGAGTGAGCCCAAAGTGACCCAAAATCCTCAGAAATCGGCCCAAAAATAGCCCAAAAATAGCCCAAAAATATCCTAAAAATAGCCCAAAATTATCCCAAAATTATCCCAAAAATATTCTAAAAATAGCCCAAAATCACCCCAAAAATATTCTAAAAATAGCCCAAAAATAGCCCAAAATCACCCCAAAAACAGCCCAAAAATATCCTAAAAATAGCCCAAAAATAGCCCAAAAATGTCCTAAAATTATCCTAAAAATATCCTAAAAATAGCCCAAAATTATCCCAAAATTATCCCAAAATTATCCCAAAAATATCCTAAAAATATCCTAAAAATACCCCAAAATTAGCCCAAAAATAGCCCAAAATTATCCTAAAAATATCCCAAAAAGATCCCAAAATTATCTCAAATTCATCCCGAATTTATCCCAAAATTATTCCAAAATTGTCCCAAAATTATCCCAAAAATATCCCAAAAATCACCCCAAAATTATCCCAAAATTACCTCAAATTTATCCTGAATTTATCCTAAAATTATCCCAAAAATATCCCAAAAATATTTCAAATTTATCCTGAATTTATCCCAAAATTATCCCAAAATTATCTCAAAATCGCCCCCAAATTATCCCAAAATTATTCCACAATTATCTCAAATTTATCCCAAATTTATCCCAAAATTATCTCAAATTTATCCCAAAGTTATCCCAAAATTTATCCCAAAATTATCCCCAAAAAATCCCCAAAAAATCCTAAAAAATCCCAAAAAATCCCCAAAAATTCCCCAAAAAATCCCAAAAAAATCCCCAAAAATCCCCAAAAAATCCCAAAAAAACCCCCCAAAAATTCCCAAAAAATCCTCAAAAAACCCCCTAAAAATCCCCCAAAAATCCCCAAAAAATCCAAAAAAAATCCCCACAAAATTCCCAAAATTTCCCCAAAATCTCGATTTTTTTCCCGTTTTTTTCCCCATTTTTCCTCATATTTTCCTCATTTTTTCACCGTTTTTCCCCATTTTTTTTTTCTTTTTTTTCCCCCAAATCCCTTTTTTTCTCCTCCCATTTTTAATTTTCCCGTTTTTCTCCTTTTTCACCCCAAAATTCTTGCAGGAATTCCTTCGTGCCACGGTGGACGCGGCCGATCTGGGGGGGCTCCAACTCGCCCTGGGCCGGGGTGGGGGGAGGGGCGAGCTCCGAATCCTCGTGGCCGCCCTGGGCTGGGCCAGCGCCGAGCTCCTCACGGCCAGGTGAGAAATTGGGGAATTTTCTGGAAATTCGGGAATTTTTGGGGAATTTTTTGGGATTTTTTGGGAATTTTTTGGGATTTTTTTCGATTTTTTTTCGATTTTTTTCGATTTTTTTTCGATTTTTTTTCGATTTTTTTTCGATTTTTTGGGGATTTTTTTTGGATTTTTTGGGGATTTTTGGAGGGGATTTGGGGTGGGATGTTCGTGGCCAGGTGGGAAATTTGGGAATTTGGGGAATTTTTGGGGAATTTTTGGGAGATTTTTGGGGATTTTGGGAATTTT